TTCGTTAATTGTAGTGTAGGCTCTATTTTAGAAAGAGCTGCATGGATTGGTCTATACTTCGTTACCATGAAACCTTCTGATATTGGGATTGTGGGAGGTATACCTGAGTTGTCCGATGAATATTCCGTCGAAGGCTTATAGATCGATGGTGTATCCGAAGAGTTGGTAGTAGGATGTATCGTTAATTGCATCAGATCCGCAGTCCGACGTGTGGGGAAAGGATCTGGGCTATCGTGGGCGTCCTATCAATCATAAAATATTGCGACTGTGGGAGGTATACCTGAGTCGTCCGGTGAATATTCCGTCGAAGGCTTATATATCGATGGTGTATCCGAAGAGTTGGTAGTAGGATGTATCGTTAATTGCATCGGAGGCTCTGTCTTAAAAGTGGAGGCACGATCTGGGCTATCTTTGGTTTCCATGAAACCTTCAGATATTGCGACTGTGGGAGGTATACCTGAGTCGTCCGGTGAATATTCCGTCGAAGGCTTATATATCGATGGTGTATCCGAAGAGTTGGTAGTAGGATGTATCGTTAATTGCATCGGAGGCTCTGTCTTAAAAGTGGAGGCACGATCTGGGCTATCTTTGGTTTCCATGAAACCTTCAGATATTGCGACTGTGGGAGGTATACCTGAGTCGTCCGGTGAATATTCCGTCGAAGGCTTATATATCGATGGTGTATCCGAAGAGTTGGTAGTAGGATGTATCGTTAATTGCATCGGAGGCTCTGTCTTAAAAGTGGAGGCACGATCTGGGCTATCTTTGGTTTCCATGAAACCTTCAGATATTGCGACTGTGGGAGGTATACCTGAGTCGTCCGGTGAATATTCCGTCGAAGGCTTATATATCGATGCTGTATCCGAAGGCATTCTTTCCGGGTAACCCGTTAGCTGTATCGTTGGCGGTGTCTCTAAGGCGGAAGCACGATCTGGATTTTCTTTGGATTCCTCCTTCCTATGTTCAGATACTGCGTCTGCGTCTACGGGAGGTATACCTGAGTAGTCCAGTGAATATTCCGTCGAAGGCTTATATATCGATGGTGTATCCGAAGAGTTGGTAGTAGGATGTATCGTTAATTGCATCGGAGGCTCTGTCTTAAAAGTGGAGGCACGATCTGGGCTATCTTTGGTTTCCATGAAACCTTCAGATATTGCGACTGTGGGAGGTATACCTGAGTCGTCCGGTGAATATTCCGTCGAAGGCTTATATATCGATGGTGTATCCGAAGAGTTGGTAGTAGGATGTNGTGGTTGTCCCCCAGGCAGTCCATCCTCTGGTGGTGCCCCACCAGGTCCACCAGTTTGTCCTTTTCCTGGAAGTGGTTCTCCAGACTGTCCCTCCTCTGGTGGTTGTTCTCCAGATTGGTAATCCTCTGGAAAATCGATCTTAGTTAATGGTGGCTGTCTTCCAGGCTTGCCACTCCCTGGTGGTGGTCCACCAGATTGGCCAGACCCTGGTGGTGGGCCTCCAGATTGGCCATCCTCTGGTGGGGCCCCACCAGATACACCAGATTGTCCATCTTCTGGTAGGGGTTCTCCAGATATTCCATCTTCTGGTAGTGGTTCTATAGACTGTCCATCCTCTAGTGGTTTGATTGAAGTGAATAACCCTGGTGGTTGTCCCCCAGGTTGTTCAGACCCTGGTGATGGCTCTCCAGATTTTCCATCTTCTGGTGGTTGTCCAGGCTCTACGTCCGCTGAATCTGGTTGTCCAGATTCTCCATCCTTTGGATGTGCGATCGTAGTGAATGAAGAAACTGGTTTCGTACGTTTTTCTTCAGAAGTACTGAGATAAATATTTGAACGGGTCGTGAGAAATCCGCTTTGTGTGGTGTCCGCTATTAACAAGTCATCGATGACAAATAGCCTGTTTGTAATTTCAATGATATCAGTGTATTTTTTCGACGGCACCATTGGTTCACGATATGGACTTTCTGCTGAATCCAATAATATCTCAGATATCGAGTCTGCGTCTGCGGGAGATCTTCCAGAGTAGTCCAATGAATTAATCATTGAAGGCTCATACATCGACAGTTTCTCGGAAGACTCGCTGGTAGGCTGTGTATCTAAAACGAAGTCACGATCTGAACTATTTGTGAAGGTCTCGAAAGGTTTAGCTATTGCGTCAGCGTCCAAGTCTGCGAGAGATACATCTGAGTAGTCCAATGAATTTTCCGTCCAAGGCTTATATACAGATGGAGTATACGTAGGATTTATTTCCGGGTACCCCGTTATCTTTATTATAGGCTGTGTCTCTAAAACGGAAGCACGATCTGGACTGTCTGTGAAATCCTCAAACGGTTCAGATATTGCGTCTGGGTCTGCGGGAGATATGCCTGTGTAGTCCAATAAATATTCCATCGAAGGCTCATAGATCGACACTGTATCCGAAGAGTTGGTAGTAGGATGTTTCGTTAATTGCATCGTAGGCTCTGTCTTAAAAATGGAAGCACGATCTGGGCTATCTTTGGTTTCCATGAAACCTTCAGATATTGCGACTGTGGGAGGTATACCTGAGTCGTCCGGTGAATATTCCGTCGAAGGCTTATATATCGATGGTGTATCCGAAGAGTTGGTAGTAGGATGTATCGTTAATTGCATCGGAGGCTCTGTCTTAAAAGTGGAGGCACGATCTGGGCTATCTTTGGTTTCCATGAAACCTTCAGATATTGCGACTGTGGGAGGTATACCTGAGTAGTCCAGTGAATGTTCCGTCGAAGGCTTATATATCGATGGTGTATCCGAAGAGTTGGTAGTAGGATGTTTCGTTAATTGCATCGTAGGCTCTGTCTTAAAAATGGAAGCACGATCTGGGCTATCTTTGGTTTCCATAGAACCTTCAGATATTGCGACTGTGGGAGGTATACCTGAGTAGTCCAGTGAATATTCAGTCGAAGGCCTATATATCGATGGTGTATCCGAAGAGTTGGTAGTAGGATGTATCGTTAATTGCATCGGAGGCTCTGTCTTAAAAGTGGAGGCACGATCTGGGCTATCTTTGGTTTCCATGAAACCTTCAGATATTGCGACTGTGGGAGGTATACCTGAGTCGTCCGGTGAATATTCCGTCGAAGGCTTATATATCGATGGTGTATCCGAAGAGTTGGTAGTAGGATGTATCGTTAATTGCATCGGAGGCTCTGTCTTAAAAGTGGAGGCACGATCTGGGCTATCTTTGGTTTCCATGAAACCTTCAGATATTGCGACTGTGGGAGGTATACCTGAGTAGTCCAGTGAATATTCCGTCGAAGGCTTATATATCGATGGTGTATCCGAAGAGTTGGTAGTAGGATGTATCGTTAATTGCATCGGAGGCTCTGTCTTAAAAGTGGAGGCACGATCTGGGCTATCTTTGGTTTCCATGAAACCTTCAGATATTGCGACTGTGGGAGGTATACCTGAGTAGTCCAGTGAATATTCCGTCGAAGGCCTATATATCGATGGTGTATCCGAAGGCTTTCTTTCCGGGTAACCCGTTAGCTGTATCGTTGGCGGTGTCTCTAAGGCGGAAGCACGATCTGGATTTTCTTTGGATTCCTCCTTCCTATGTTCAGATACTGCGTCTGCGTCTACGGGAGGTATACCTGAGTAGTCCAGTGAATGTTCCGTCGAAGGCTTATATATCGATGGTGTATCCGAAGAGTTGGTAGTAGGATGTTTCGTTAATTGCATCGTAGGCTCTGTCTTAAAAGTGGAGGCACGATCTGGGCTATCTTTGGTTTCCATAGAACCTTCAGATATTGCGACTGTGGGAGGTATACCTGAGTAGTCCAGTGAATATTCCGTCGAATGCGTATATATCGATGGTGTATCCGAAGGATTGCTTCCCGGATATACCGTTAACTGTATCGTGGGCTGTGTCTTAAAAACGGATGCACGATCTGGGCTTTCTGTTAATTCCCAGAAAGGTTCAGATGTTGCGTCTGCGTCTGCGGGAGGCAAATCTGAGTAGTCCGAGGAATTCCTTTCCGCGTACCCCGTTAACTGTACCGTAACCTGTGTCTCTAAAACGAAAGCACGATCTGGACTCTCTGTGAATTCCTCAAAAGTTTCAGATGTTGCTGCTGCGTCTGCGTCTGCGTCTTCGGGATATATATCTGAGTAGTCCAATGAATATTCCGTAGAAGGCCTGTATATCGATGGTGTATCCGATCCGAACTTTATCGTGGGCTTGGCAGAATCCCGATATGGACTGTCTGTTGATTCCCCGAAAGGTTCAGATATTGTGCTTGTACGGGCTGGGGCAATAAGTGAGTGGTCCAATGAATTAATCGTCCCAGTACCCGTTGACTGTATCGTAGGCTGTGTTTCTAAACCGAAGGCATGATCTGGATACTCTTTGGATTTCTCGAAACGCTCAGATATTTCATCTGCGTCTGCGGTAGATATACTGGACGTTCCCGACCTTGAAATCGTTGTTTCTGTATCCAAAGTAGATTGTGGAACTGGACTTTCGATGGACTTCGCTGAAGCTTCAGCCATTGATGGCTTATCAAAGGTAGATATCGTAGAGAATGTGGCTAGTTGTGTCAGCGAATCGAATGTAAGTTTATTCTCGGAATTTTTGGGTGTTCCCATAGAAGCTTTTCCAGGGGATTTCGATAATGAAATCGTCGATTTTTTGCTAAAAGTGGATTTCAGAACTGGACTTTCTGTGGATTTCATTGAAGTTTTGCTTGACGATGGTGAGCCTGAAGGAATACTGGTATGGGGTTTTGATGGGGTTTTCATTATGGAAATGGATATTAGATCATGTCTTTCACTTTCTTTCTTTAGGGGGTTGGATATTGTGGGAGTACCAGCAGTACTTTTTCCCGTAAGTTCCTGTGTCGATCCTTCGATTTTCTTGGTTGATTTCAGAACTGAAAGTTCTGTAAATTTCGTTGAAGAGTCCCCTGTCGATGGTGAACGTGAAGGAGCACTGGTAAGAGTTTTTGATGTTAGATCATGTGTTTCACTTTCTTTCTCTAGGGGGTTGGATATTGTGGGAGTACCAGCAGTACTTTTTCCCGTGAGTTTTAATAATGGAGTAGTTCCTTCTGTTTGTTTTTTTGATGTATCCACTGGACGTTCTGTGGACTTTGCTAAAGTTTTTGTTGTTGATTGTGCATCTGAAAAAGTGCTAGCTGGGGGTTTGGTTAGGGTCAGCAAAGTCGGTCTTGTGGAAGTGGTTTTTTGATCAAGTTTTTCAGTGGTCTGAATTTCCGACTTAAAGGGTTCAGAAATAATGGGTGAATAGTTTAATTGGGACGTTGCAGGCCCTCTTTCTGTGGAGTGTGTTTTCAATAAATTAATCGACAAACTTTCATGTCTTGAGGATCTATCCAAAGCAGTTGATTCAGTCAATTGCCCCGTTGGTTGTGCAGTCAATATGGACTTAAGATCTCTATATTTTGTCGATTCCCCGAAAGGTTCAGACATCATGCCTGTGCCTGAAGGATATTCGTTTGTGGATTCGGATGAATAAATAGGTGAAGGCTCATTTATCGATGGTGTATCCGTCGGATTGCTAGCAGGAGATTCTGTCGACTGTATCGTAGGTTGTGTCTCGAAAACCGAAGCAAAATCTGGTCTTTCTGTGGATTCCCCGAATAGTTCAGACATCATGCCTGTGTCTGAAGGATATTCGTCTGTGGATTCGGATGAATAAATAGGTGAAGGCTCCTTTATCGATGGTGTATCCGTCGGATTGCTGGCAGGAGATTCCATTGACTGCATCGTAGGTTGTGTCTCGAAAACCGAATCAAGATCTGGTATTTCTGTGGATTCCCCGAAAGGTTCAGACATCGTGCCAGAGGCTGAAGAAGATCCGTATGTGGACACCAATGAATAAATTGTTGAAGGCTCATTTATCAAAGATTTCTCAAGTGAAGCGAAAGTGACTTTTCCTGGTGGTTCAGATAAAATAGTCGTTCGTTCTGTTTGGGCAGTGGATGTCAGATTTGGACTTCCGGCAGTCCTTGCTGAAGTTTCTGCTATCGATGGTGTATCTGACGAAGTACTGGGCAGTATATTGTTTTGGGCTATCGTTGACAATGGGATGGAAGTGGATGTCTGATCATATTGCTCGGTCTCCATTGGATGTTCGGATTGTGTGGGTATACTGGGAGTATTCTGCCCCTGAGTTTCTGATAACATTTCTGTTTGATTAGTTAATGCCCCATCTCTACTTTCCGTGGACTTTGGCATAGTTTCGGGAATTGACGGAGTATCTGAAGAAGTACTAGGCGGGAGATTGGATGGGGTAATCATTGACACTGGGGTGGAAGATGTCTGGTCATGTTTTTCATTTGAATCCATTGCAGGCTCGGATCGAGTTGGATTGCTGGGAATATATTTTTCGGGGTATTCTGACAATGGTTCTGTTTGAATTATCGATGTCCCTACTGGACTTTCGGTGGACTTCGCTGATGTTTTAGTTAACGATGACAAAGATGATGGAATACTGGTGTACTGTGTTGTGGAGTTGGGTTCTTCATTTGTACTCTCAGTTGTACGTTCTATGCTTATGGATTTTGATTTATCTGCACCGTATACTGGTTGAGTATTTGATTTAGTTGACTCAGTTTTCCTATTATCTGCTGGTGAACGTGCTCTCCTATACGATCCTGTATATGATAAAGGGATTCTTTTGTTCAAAGGCAAGGCACTACCTCGAAGCATGGATGCCCGAAATTGCAGTTTGCTGATTGGCTTAGTAGATGATTTTTTGCCCGATTGATGGTACTTTCGTAGAGCATTCTCCTGAGAAGGGTTAGATACCATATGAATGCTGTTAACTTTTAGTTCATTTAAAACTGTATTAGAAGGTATAGTCTTTGATATAGTTGTGTAGACGGTATTACTGGGAGTTTTCAAAAATAGAGGCAAAAATGGTTTTGTGCATGTGAAACATAACGTTGATCTTCTGTTGACATGTCTCTCAGGCAGCCTTAAATTTCCGTCAAAACTCCTCGTTGATAGTGCATATTTTCTTTTATGGCCAAGTGATTTCATCTTTGTCCTACTGAAAAATCGCTTTCCTGGCATCTTCTAAAAACACAAGACATATTTTTCAATATTAATTTATGTACTTATTGTCTCTTAATTTATTTGTTTTTCTAAAGCAAAGCCTTCCATTTAACAAGTATCAGGTATCGCACTCTCGACCACCATTTTGATAATCATTAAATATTTGATGAACCAATTCAAATTTTCAAACCTTACAAAAAAAATAATATACAAATACATATATGTATGTATGTGATGTAATGCATACATACTTATCTATGGTTAGACACAACAACAAAATATATATCTTTTTCGTTTGTTATTGATTTGCTTACATTTGCTTAATTTGTAAACTTAACTGGAGCAGTATTTGATTATCTTTTGCCAGAAATGTAACGCTAAGCTGGAAGCATTTTTCAAATTACAATTTAAAATTTAAATATCTATTTTAAAGTGCATTCAATTTAATAATAATAATAATAAATAAATAATAAAGTTACTTATGGCAAGACAAAACTTTATATATTTATAATTTATATCACTGTGCCATATTCCAGCAAGAATTGTTTTACATCAGTCGCAGTAAATATTTAAAACATTTCAGTTTTGCCTTTGGTTTTACTCACATATTCACTAACTATCGATGATTTGTTCTTTTCAATAGAGCCTAGTGCTGATTTGATGTCGTGAAAGTATATTACTAAAACAATTAGTACAAATATGAGAATGTGCATATTTATATTTAAATACAAGATCCGAGTAGCTACTAAGAGTTTCCATGCTAGTTTCTGACACATTGCCAGCATAGAGAATGGAAAAGAAATGAATTCCCTATGCCGTAGCGCTATGGAAATTGTACAATTAGTTTCATTTCAAGCATATAATAGGTGTATAATCAGACTAAATAAGACTCAAATTCTACACACATGCGAGTAAGTCACACTCGAATTGTATAAACGGCAACATCTATTTTATAACGTTTATGCAGCAGAAATGGCTGCGTATGGAGTGCAACATCCTCGATTTTGAGACAATCTGTAAGAAATTTAACACACATTATTAGCCCTTCAGGGGGTCCAAACAAGTATGTGTTCACCTCTTACCTATTTCGTGTAGTTCCTTTCGCAACCATTTAAGGCACACTTCCAATGGGAAGAACAAAATTTGCCTACGAACAAACTCGAAAATCCCCAGGGTGGCATGTGTAAGCGACTTTAACTATGATTAATACAAATAAAACCAATTAAATAATGCTTAGCCAATGGATTAATTTTGGATACTTACAACGGCAAAAACCACATAGTACACAAGTGTGGTGGGAAATAGAAATAGAATTGCTGAGAAAAATATGGTGGCAAGATAGAGTTGTCGATCCATATAATTCTGAGCTTCAATACGGCCTGCAATAAAATGTATGAAAATTAATTGCTGCTCATGTATTTTTTAAGCATATATACATACGTTTTAAAATATTATATCTGTTACCACGAACTACTTGCCATAGTACGGATAATCCTTTTTTTTCCACCTTATACAGACTGCAAAGATATCCATTAGATACAATTACCGGCTTAATTTATACAATTTTAACTTACACCTTGGTGTAAATGTGGAAACAATGCGAGTGCAATGCAACTATTGATATTAGATCTGCAAGTAGAGCTATCTGGAATGTTAGGCCCATGCATCCAAATACTCCAATGGCTAGAAAAACTTGCCGTACTATTGGCTCGATCAAATCTAGTGAAATGAAATATGAATGAGTATCAGATAGAAATACAAAATGTATTTAATTTATAAAACATACCCAAAAACATGGACCACAACTGAATATGATATTTGAAACAATCGAGGAAGAAATTATTTAAATGTATATTCAATTTGAGACCAATAGGACTGCCTTCCAAAACATTCAGCAGGCTGTACAGCTGGTTTATAATGCCCTAGAAGAATGGTAAAGTTATAAACTCTGAATTTGATCAATTTCGTGACCAACTTACATGGGATATTTGTATAAGAATGTCGCCCGGTGGGGTAACCAATGAAAACATAATAACCATCAAAAGTATACCCAGCATTCGATCTAAGGCAATATTTTTTTTCCTAGAACTAAAAAGAAACATACAAAATAATCGTAAGTAATTATGCATTAAATGGATGTAGAAAAATATTCGTACCTTTTATCACAGATCAATTGCCAGTCTTTAAAGTGTTTATAGACAGTCGTGTGCACCATTATGTTATTAATGAAAACATTTTCCGCTGTATATTTAAACAATTGTATGGGTGCGTCGGCTAAAAGATGTAACAGGTGAAGGCCACTCTTGAGTACCTTGTTTCGGGGCTTATGAGGCCCGACTTCGGGCTGCACCAACCGAAAGAGCTCCAGAAAATCGCAATTGCTGCTGCCACGGCTTTCCGGTGGCTGTTCCAGTGTGTTCTCATCATGGACATACAAACCCTGTACTATCTTCTTGTGATATAGAATTATTTTGATATTTTTAAGGTGCTCTGGTGTGATTCCTATGTACCCCAGTGAAATGTTTGGCTCGTTTCTGTCATATGTGAAGCATATGCGCATATCCAGCTGGTGGTAGATATTCTGCTGTCCTGCGCAGGTATCACTGCACAGGATAGAGCCCAGGAATCGCAAATCACTGGTTGTACCATGCTCCATCGATTTTGAATTGAAGTCGAAGTCGATAGCATCCACGACATAATATACGACTACATTGTCGTCGTTTATTTGTACTTGTCCGTACAAATTAGTTGGTTCTTTGAGGCTGAAGTAATCGATGGGCAAGTATATCTTGATGCTCATTTTGGATCAGAGTTAAGTTTGCACAGGCAGTACATCAGTAAACCGTTTAAAACAAAAAACAACACGAGCCCGCAACTGGTTATACATATTCCATGCGCTACTGAGAAGGTGACGAAATGTAGGCCGACTGACGTCACAAATACACGCTAGAGACGATGGAATGAAAACAAAAGGTAAAATGAATTCTTCAATTATTATTAAATTGGACGCCTATTGACACAACCACTAGTTATTTTTCAATAGATAATTAGAATAATAATAATTTTTATGGATATATAAAATATTATATTTATATATATTTATATTTATATAATAATTTATATAAAATATAAGTCTAGCACATCGATTATGGTTTTAATACATAAGAAATATGTAATGTAATTTAACATCCCCTAGTTGCCATTTCTTTGGGCTATTTTCATTTAAAGATAAAATATCTTCTCACCCTATTTTTTTCCACCATTGACCAAATGCGAATAAAAGAATTTCTTTGTCGATAAATTTGAGAATGCACCCCTGCGATATATTCACGTGTTCTGTTTTATTTCGTTTCTCCTGATACTTTTGTGTTAACACCTTCCTACGGAATATACATTTTTCGTCGGCATTACTAAATAATAAAACTAGTTATTGTTTAAATAACAATTTATTCTTTTGAATAAATCTAAACATGGGCTATGATGGTGAGTTCGCATTGCAAAACAACAGAAAAGCAAATCCGCACATAAACTGTATTTTCGATGCGTAAGTGTACACAAATAAAGTGTGCGTACATATGCACATACAGTGAAAAAACTACAAATATTGTGCAAAATGGTACCAAATTTCGCATTTCATCTGTGTTGAATACATTTAATTATTTTTTATATTGCCGCAAAGCGAAAATTGTATGCATTCCATATGAATTTTCGCATTCTCATTTTGACCGGTGTACACATACATATGTATGTGTGTATGCATACATATGCACATAACAATTGAAAACTATTTGTTGCCTTAAGCTTACATTTTTGTGATTTTTTGGGTATCATTGAAAGTGTTTGTTGGTTTATAGAGTAAAGATATCTGAGGAGTTGAACAAATATCTCTAGTCATGTTTTGTGTTCATAAAATCCACGTTTGAATTGCACGCACACATGCATACAAATATATGTACATGCATACACACAGGCATACATATGAATCGTTTTTAGCAAATACTTTGCATTGAAACTGCATTGTTACTGTGATGCTGAGTGGTTTCTTTTTTCGTTTCTTATATTTTTTTTATAGATCGTGAACGTGACCGTGACCGCGATCGTCGTCGCCATCGTTCACGCTCTCGTGACCGCCATCGCGAGCGCTCCAGGGACCATCGTCATCACCGCAATTCGCGCCGCAAGCCATCCCTCTACTGGGATGTGCCCCCACCAGGATTTGAGCACATTACTCCGATGCAGTACAAAGCAATGCAGGCCTCCGGACAGATACCAGCCAGCGTTGTCCCAGACACTCCTCAGACAGCCGTGCCAGTTGTCGGTTCAACCATAACCCGCCAGGCACGTCGCTTGTACGTCGGCAACATTCCGTTTGGCGTCACCGAGGAGGAAATGATGGAGTTCTTTAATCAGCAAATGCATTTAGTTGGCCTGGCCCAAGCTGCCGGCAGTCCAGTACTTGCTTGCCAAATCAATTTGGACAAGAATTTCGCTTTCCTTGAGTTTCGTTCAATAGACGAGACCACTCAAGCAATGGCTTTTGACGGCATCAATTTAAAAGGGCAATCCCTGAAGATAAGGCGGCCGCATGATTACCAGCCTATGCCGGGCATAACAGATACTCCGGCCATTAAACCCGCTGTTGGTAAGTAAACCATGAAGCCTCTCGAAAATATTCGATTTGTTATATTTAATTGACATTGAAATATTTTGCACAGTTTCCAGTGGAGTTATCTCGACGGTGGTACCAGACTCGCCCCACAAAATATTTATTGGCGGTCTGCCCAACTATTTAAATGACGATCAGGTTAGTTTGGTTGTTATACATATCACGAATCCCAACAATATTTACACTCGTTTGTTTACGTTCTATTCAAGGTTAAGGAACTGTTGCTCTCATTTGGAAAGCTACGTGCATTTAACCTTGTCAAAGACGCTGCTACTGGGTTATCAAAGGGGTACGCCTTTTGTGAATATGTAGACCTAAGCATCACCGATCAGGTAAGCATAACTTAGCATTATGTTTCTATCGAAATCGAAATGTAATTTGTGTTTATTCTTTGTAGTCAATTGCTGGCTTAAATGGAATGCAACTGGGCGACAAGAAACTTATCGTACAACGTGCCAGCGTTGGGGCCAAGAATGCACAGAATGCCTCAAACTCTAGTCAGTCCGTTATGCTGCAGGTGCCAGGACTGTCGACAGTCGTTAGTAGTGGTCCACCCACAGAGGTGCTTTGTCTGCTTAATATGGTCACTCCCGACGAGCTACGCGATGAGGAAGAATACGAAGACATACTGGAGGACATCAAGGAGGAGTGTACAAAGTATGGTGTGGTGAGAAGTGTCGAAATACCACGACCCATCGAGGGCGTTGAGGTACCTGGATGCGGCAAAGTCTTTGTCGAATTCAATTCGGTTCTCGATTGCCAAAAGGCACAGCAGGCCCTTACCGGACGCAAGTTCAGCGATCGCGTCGTTGTTACTTCATACTTTGATCCTGACAAATACCATAGACGCGAATTTTAGATAAAAACTCTAACAACAAAAACTAACACTAAATCATATTTCTCACATTCACCGATGTTCAATAAAATTACACATAATAAACAACAAAAATGTATGACCCGACGTGTGTCCCACAAAAAAAAAACAACTTGTATTTGTATTTACCAAGTGTGAGCCATTAAGGATTTTTAAGACCTTAAGTTTTGCGAAAGATTAGCTAATTTAATAACAATGTGGCCAAAGTGTATTGTTTTAAACAATCGTGTAATCCGTATGTTCAAGAATTGTTCGTCTCTCGTGCCTTTTCCCAATAGAAGTGTGTAGGCAAAGGGAAGGGAAACAATGTTGAAGAGCTCGCTTGAGAGAGATCTTTGCAGTTTAGGTTTGAGCGAAAGTATGGGGAATGGAAATGTGGAATGTGAACAATTGGAGGGAAAAAACCTCCCAAACAGCTGATTTACATATTTAAAATCATAACCGTTTAGCGTTCATCCGCATTTGCTAAAGCAAAATTAAGGCATTTGAAGAATAATAATACAATTATACAACCAAAATCCTTCCTCCGCCGTAGCTAGTATTCTCACATAGAAAATATATAATACGAGACTTTTGTAAAAAGAAATATTATTCATGAAAGAGAAAGAGATAGACGTGTCGCTAGCTACTGCGATGCAAGCAACTGGGTGAATAGTAGTGGTGGTAAACTGTACCCAGAAATAGATAGAAATTATGATGTACACAGAAATAGTGCAAAACTTATCAAACTTACGAAATGTGAAATCAAAATCTTTGTTAAGTTAAAAGACAACTAACGCCGGTAAATCTTTATTTGGCATTAAAATAGTGTAAACATTAAACAGTATAGGGGGAGGGGGGTTTGTTTGGTTTGTACGTGTACAACGTGGATATGATTTGATATGTGTATGAGGAGACATTCGTTAATCAGTTAAACACGGAATAGAAGGGACGACATACATATGAAACAGGTAGAGGCGAAAATGGTACATAGAAAATAACTTAAAGAAATATAACTAGAAAATACTATACTTGAAAAAGGCTTGACTTAAAACACACACAGATAAAAAATGAATTCTCTATCAATTGGCTTTAGTGTAGACATAGACGGTAAATAATAGACATAGACATAGAATAAAATATATTGCACGGATTCTGCCGCTTTAGAAATATGTGGGAGGGGCGGGTAGAGTGGAGAGTGCTCCAACCCTAGCCTCCTCCATCGTTAAATGCTTGAAAAAAATGAATGTAAAATGGGTTTTTGTTCCAGAACTATTTATCAAGTGGAATGCCCTTTAAGTTTTGTTCAGTTTGTTGTGTGTGCGCTTTTACGATACTCCCAGGTTGTGGCTGATCAAGTGGATGTGATATTTGTTATCTTAATGTTGACCAACAATGATGACAGTTCCAGTTCCTCGCTGAACTTATTTCTCAGTATGACACTGCGATAGCCCTGGCGCACAGAGGTCAATGGATAGCAGGCCTGCGCTATGAAATGTGTCTCGGCAAACATATCCTCGTCCTGCACTTCGAAACGGAGGATGGCAAACTGTGGATTGCGCACGGTAAACTCGCAGGCCTCGTTCCACACCGGATTGAAGCCATTCTCATTGACTTTGGTGCGATATTTGATGCCGGTATCAAAGCTGGCGCCAATAATTTCCACCACAATTTGTGGATTATTTGATTTACCGCCGCGAAACAGATGCCTTGCCGCTATCAGGCGTATGATAACACGCACTTCGTTCAGGCCATCGGACAGCGGATTGTTTGGATTAAAAGTTTCGAGCTTCATGAACGACGGCTTTAGGATGTAGCCACATTGGCCATTATTCCGGAATTTGGCCTGATTCAGCTGCATGGCCTTGTCGCCCGTCTGATAGTTGAGGGCTATCATCTGAGATCCAATATTCCAGAAAGGCATGGGATTAAAGTTCGACGAGTCCAGGCGCTGTCCCTTGGGATACACCCGACTGATTTGGTTGCGATGATAGGAGAGAAAGAGCGGCGTATTCTGTTGAAAGAACTGCTTCTCGGCCTTCGTTTCGGGGAAGCTGGACATCTCCTGGAAGATCCAAGAGTGCTCACGAAATGGTACACTCCGAAAGTATATTATCAGATCGGACATTTCCTTGGCCACGCGCGCTGTGCGCTCCTTTTTGCGCCGCTCTGTGGCCAGTTGACTAGCGATTAGGGCCGCCTCCTGAATGGCCTTTATCCACTCGTAGGCCGTCTCCTGATTATCAAAGCCAATCACAAACGGATTCTGCATCGTTGGCGTTTGTATCTGTAGCTTGAATATAATGCCCGGCTCATTCGATTCAAAGAGCGACGCGACGGCGCCATAGATCTCAATCGAATCGGTGCGGCCATCGGTGCCTTCCTCATTCACTGAATTGT